TATCCTGTAAGTACCCATATCTGTTCCACAAAAACGCTTCTGATTAGCAAGCATGAGGGGTCCTGCATTCATGGCCCAAGGCAAAATAAGTTGGCTGTGGAAGACCATCAACTCAGGCCCTGGGAGGGCCTCTATATACAAAAAGATTCTGTCAATTGCCAGCAGTGGCTTCCCTAATTGTGTGCAGCACTGGATGAGAATGATTTCAGTATGAGAAAGCCTTGGGCAATTTATGTCCACCAAGAGACATTTAGGGACTCTTGTACGCCTAATGGGAGGCTGCTAAAGCCTTTATGGTAAAGGAGTGAGTGAAGGGAGATGCTAACAGAGGGGCAATTATTTCAAAAATTTCTAGAGCCCTTTGTTTCCCAATACAAAGTCAGTCAATTTCTAAGTGTTGTATGAGTAAGTAAGCAAGTAGATCTGATAAATATGGGATGTTATGGTTGCTGTGGCTGAGAGAATGTGCCCATGACACCACTGCTTCTGTCCCCCCCTCAGCTCACAGCCTCCTCATGTTGCCTCAGAGAAATTTTCCAGAGGGTACATGTGTGGATTTCTAAAGATGTTTCCAAGTAAGCAGGCACAGGGTAGGCTTGATTTGGGAAATGAACAGCTGGAAATGGCCTATGGATGGCAATGAGAAGAAATGATGCTGATGCACATGAATGAGGATGTCCCCAGGAAGACCCCTCTTGGGATCCAATATTATGTTTTAGAACCATAGTATTTCTAAAGATCTGTCCACACAACCTCATTTAAACTCAAAGACAGATTCTGGGAGCCTTTTCACTTCACTCCTTGTTATGAGGATGAGACAAGGGCAGGTGCAAACAATTGAGATGTTTTCTCAATTAAGACAGGGTTGCAAGAAAGTCCTGTTGAGGGGCCTGCCCCGTGGCATAGTGGTTAAGTGCGTGCGCTCCGCAGCTGGTGGCCCGGGTTCGGATCCCGGGCGCACACCGACGCACCGCTTGTCAAGCCATGCTGTGGCAGCATCCCATATAAAGTGGAGGAAGATGGGCACAGATGTTAGCCCAAGGCCAGTCTTCCTCAGCAAAAAGAGGAAGATTGGCATGGATGTTAGCTCAGGGCCAGTCTTCCTCAGCAAAAAAAGGGGAAAATTAGCATGGATTTTAGCTCAGGGCTGATCTTCCCCAAAAAAAAAAAAAAAAAAAGAAAGTCCTGTTGAGGACTAAGTCCTTCCTTCCCAGTCCTTCAGTTCTTCCTAAGAAGGATCCCACAGCGGTGGAAAGACAATTTGAACACATAAAAATCAAAGTTCAAGAGAGCTTAACATTCTTCTAGCATATGAAGGGAATTATATTATTCATTTTCCAATAATTATATATGTAATACACACACAAACATATATAAAATATTTAAAGTGCATTCGTGAGTTTTCTCAAATGTAGAGATATACTAACATCAAAGGATGAATAACATACCATAACTCCAAAAGAACACTCCTGTGGTGCCCATTTGAATGAAACCTCTCCACAACATAAATTAACATTAAAGAAAAATTGAAAACATTCCATTTCCTTTGTTGTTTTAAGCCTTGAAGCTGTTACTGCTGTTTCTCTCTTTTCCACACCATGTGCTGGATGGCTAAGCATATGGAAATGAAACCTGTGAACAGCTAAATGGGCTTCAGAGTTTGGTGGATCATTGAAATTAAGGAATTCCAGCCACTCCTGTGATGCAAAGATGTTGAAAATTTCCCATTCTCTTTTTATGCTCATTTAGGATATTACTCAAAATAATATCCCTGAAGCTTACCTGAATTATTCTCTAGATGATTACCTCTAAACGACACCCTTACTCACTCCTACCCTCATAGAAAAGATATATACACACTTCAGCCTGCCTATTAGGTCAACATTATTTTTTACTTTCCTTCAAAGCCCTTGTCTCTATCTTATAAACAAAGCTTTACTATCTGTCATCATCTCTCTTTTCCCACAAATACACAAGCACCAGGACTGCAAGAAATTGTTTGTTTCAAGCACTATATCCAAATCCTAACATGCCTTGTTTCTGCTAAATTGGGTACACCATGGCATGTGAGGGATGTTGAAACATTAGCATCAAGAGCATAGTCTCTGAGAAAGGCAGGCTTGATTGGCACAGTGGCCCTGTCTCTGTCCCTTGCTGGGTTTGTATTGCCTCGCAATTCACCTAAACTCAAAGGCCTCAGAGTCATAAAGAAGATATTAAAAATATTATTTAGCATCCGAAGAAGTGAGTTTATATAATTTAACTGAGGTACTTCATGGTCAATAGTGTCTAATACACTGTAGGAAACACATCAGTGTTTTGATAATAAGCAAGAAAGGCAAAAGCTGTCCCAGAGGACCAGGAGCTGCCTGCAGTCACTGCAAGGCCAAGTCTTACGCTGCTTAAAAGAAATATCTCACAAACCTCCTTCTTCAAAAGTACACAGGTACCAAGACAAAACTAAAAGTACTTTGTAGCCAGACCAGTAAAAACAGTAAAAGATAAAATTCCAAATCATAGATATGACTAAGTTTCCCTTCTTCTTACTAAAATGACTGACTGGAACTTCTTAGAAAATAACTTTGGCTCCACTGCACTGTTTTTGCCTTCTAGAAAAGAATGATTATATCTACCAAAGACAAATTCCTTACAAAGATAGAATTAAGTTTACCTCCTCACAGCATTCAATACAGAAAACAACATTCATCCTTGAATATCAATCAAATCATCTAATACCTGCCAAAAATCTTGTAAGAAGTCCTTTTGAGCACCCTGCTACTGTTATACCTCACAGTCCAATATGGTCTGTGGTCATTCTTTTTAGAAGTCATTACACCCCTTTCTTTGACTACAGGTGCAATCCTGCAGGTCACTGGTAAGAGGGCATTGATAAAAAAACATGATTTTTATGTTTTGGGTTAAGAATAAATTAGAAATTAGTTTCACGACAAAAACAGTAACTATAAAAGAATAAAAATTAAAGTTTGCCTGAGGAAAAAAATACCTGAATTTGTATGCACATGACAAAATTGACTCATAATGTATCGATGATTAAATGAAGAAAATTGCAAAGTATATCTGAAAATACATAATTAAAATTAATTTTAATATAGTCTGAGGAAATAAAATCACAGTAATATTTATTAGCATAGGATAGATTAGAAAATAGTTGATAAAATATATCAATGAAACAACTACAGAAGTGTTCATTTCACAAGGAAACACGTGGAGTTTTAACGACATACAATCAAATGTTATTGAAAACATATTGAGGGAATACATTCAGCTACAAGTAACAGGAAACACACACAGTCTTCCTGACATGAGAAAGGTGATTGTTCTCACATGAACAAACTGGGTCAAGGCAGTCACTGCACAACACAGCAGAGAAACAAACTCCCAGGTCCTTCTTTTTGTGCCCCATTGTAGGTGTCATGGTGAATCAGGAAAACATGCTCACTAGCACTATTAACAGCATAACATGTTTCCTATACAAATTAGACCTTATAAAGATATCCCCTAGAGAAAAGGAGAATCAGAGAATACTCCCAACCACAAAAGTCTGAATTAGTTTCCTGGTGGACACAAGAGGCCTTACAGAAAAATCCTAACTCTAATGGATCTTTGATGTGAAACTTGTGAGAACATCAGTGGAAAATACACCTCTAAGAAAATGAAAATCAAACTGTTTGTAGTCATTTTCAAGATACTTTTGACTGTAAGGGCAAATAATCCAGAAAATGGGATGAAAGATGGTTTACTCAAAGCTCCTATGTAACTGTCTCTCCCTTATATGGTGGCTTGAAAATCTGCCTCATGCCTTGTTTGCTTCTGCCTTCCAAATCTCATGCCAATGAGGCTATTGGTGAACTCAAACATGGAACCATAAAGGGGACGCATTCTTAAAGATCTTGTTCTTAATATTACCCTCCTTGACATAACACAATACAGAGGTGATATGTCTAGATTTTATAGATTTTGTGATTAACTAGAAATCACAGGTTTCTACTTAATTCAAAGTTTATTCACCAAATACCAGTCAGAAGGAAGGACAAAGAACAGAGGCCCAAACATGAAAATAAGAATTCACATGAAAATATACTCCTTGATAAACTAGCCACACATAAAAATTTATTCCAACTGTTTAACAGTATGGAAAATAAAAACAAGCTCCTATAACCACCATCCCAAAAAAGGAGATTTCTCTAAGAAAATAACAATATGTACAACAGATTAAACATATCCAGGAACTGCAACAGAAGAGCAGTAAGAAAATCCCAACAAATATGAACTGTCATTTTTCATTGGCCCCTTAACACAGATTAAAACATTATAAAAAATTAAAGAGAAAATATTATTAACTGATTTAAGGAAAAAGCACTACCTAGTAATCTTATAAATGATAACTTGCAGAATTATCTGACCTCAACATTCATTTCTGAAAGTAATTAATAGATTCCACAACCCAATGTTGCACTTTAGGCTTGGTAAACACAATACATTTACAAATTTATAACCACTCTGTCCTGTTGCACACAAGTAAATTACCATCAAGTTTTCTCATATGACTTGCACTTATATTTCTTTTTGGTGGGAGTTTTGCATTTAATGATGATATAGGCGGCTGGCCCCATGGCTTAGCAGTTAAGTGCGCGCGCTCCACTACTGGTGGTCCAGGTTTGGATCCCGGGCGCGCACCGACGCACCGCTTCTCCGGCCATGCTGCGGCTGTGTCCCACATACAGCAACTAGAAGGATGTGCAACTATGACATACAACTATCTACTGGGGCTTTGGGGAAAAAAAGGAGGCGGATTGGCAATAGATGTTAGCTCAGAGCCAGTCTTCCTCAGCAAAAAGAGGAGGATTAGCATGGATGTTAGCTCAGAGCTGATCTTCCTCACACACACACAAAAAAAAGATGATATAGGGCATTTGAAGTCTTTCCCATGTTGACTGAGGTCAAGAGGTTCTTATCAAGTGGTTCCTTTTATGCCTTCTGAAAGAACTGGGATGACAAAAAGCTTTCCCACGTTCCCTACATCTATATGGTTTTTCCTCTAATGTGCCATCTTGCATATCCTCAAAAGTTTTCAGGAGAAATAAAAGCTTTTCCACTTTCTTGACATTCATAGGGTTTCTCTGCAGTGTGAGTTCTTTCATGTCTTCGAAGAGAACTTGGAAAACTAAATATTTTACTACATTTTTCACACTCATACTTTTTCTCTCCAGTGTGATTTCTTTTATGTATTTGGAAACTCTCATGAGAACTGAAGGCTTTCCCACATTCTGTACATTTATAGGGTTTCACTCCAGCATGACTTCTTTCATGCCTTCGAAGTAATCTGGGATACATGAATGCTCTCTCACATTCCTTACATTTATAAGGTCTATCTCCAGTGTGAATCATCATGTGTGATCGAAGGCTTGAGTGATCTCTAAAGGCTTTCCCACATTCCTTACATTCATAGGGTTTCTCTCCAGTATGAAT